AAGAAATCCAGTGTCCTGGATTTCCTTAAATAAGTCCAGTGTCGTGATCTCCATCACACTTCCTCTTAAGCCAATCCACTCCTTAATAACCCATAACATAATCATCTTCAGAAGAGGACTATGGTGTTATCAGGGGTTAAAATCCATGAGCTGTGTTGGGCCTGGATTCAATCTTCTTCCTGTGAAAGTTAATGATTGGATTCTGGTTTGGTTCCATATCCCACCCCCGCTGAGTGCCAGGCTCTGTTGGCATTAACAAATTCTACTTTCAAATACAGTTACTTTCACATATAGATAGCTGATAGAAACAGTTTTTTCAGGTGGAAGCAAGTTTTTGAGATTTATGCTTATTCCTGATGCAATTAGTAAACTCTGAAACTGAAGTCTGATTTAGAAGCAATATTTTTCCCACACCAATTCTTATAGTGTAGAAAAATCGATTGTTAGCATGAAGAATGTTAGAAACATAGGAAGCTTATAGCACAGGAGGCCACTCAGATGTATATATCTATCCTGGTACTAAATTATCTACTGTAGCTTTTTACTCAATGCCTGCTCATTCCTTGCACCCTTTAATTTTTTTTTCTCTCCCTCAATTATTTGTGTAACTCCCTTTGAAAAGCAATTATAGACTCAACTTCAACATCATTTGTGGTAAGACATTCCACATCTAACAACCCTTTGTGTAAAAAGAAAATTCTTCAAATTTCCCCCTTTTTTCCTACTAGTGACAATTCCTCTTGTTAAGGAATCAGCCGATCAATAGAAATTGTCCCTCTCAATTTAACCTATTAAAACCATTCAATAGTTCTAAATCAACAACATTTTGCATGACGTTCACTAAAGAACATGTTGCATACTGAGACAATAAGCCTTAAAAAAGCCTTGTGGAGTTCAGTGGCGTACTGGTTAGAGCACTTGCCTTGCAAGCAAGAGGACCGGGGTTCGATTCCTGGGCAAGGCAAAATCTTAGGCAAGTTTCCTTATTCTACACACCTCTGTTTACCCAGCAGTAAGTAGGAACCCAGTTGTTAGTCGATTGGTGGATCATTTTTGTGGAGATAATAAGCCCTTCAAGAAAAAATAATTTGGTCACTCAATCCCCGACTGTTTGTGGGACACTGCTGTGCACAAGTGACTGCCAAGTTTCACCCACAAAATAGTACACTTTATAGTGTATCCTGCGATGCGCTTTGAGACATCTCGAAGACATCATAAGGCATTATATCAAATACAAGGATTATTATTATTCTTATTAAAAAAAATCCAAAAGTTAGTTCCAGGGTTCATCCTTTAGTTCAGGTCGCATTTACCTCACACCACTGACGGTAGCTCTGACCTTGGCATCAATGCCCTATGGTAAATAAATGTACTTATTTATTTGATTGAGGTGGCAGTGTTCCTTCCAGAGGCACCAGACAGCTTCCAACTCTGGAGAAACATGAACTCATATAGTCTAAGCTGACACTCCAATGCAGTGCTGGAGTGGTGGGGGGGGGGGGGGGGTGGGGGGGTGAAGTTGCAGTGACAAGCATGTCATCCTTTGGATAAGACTCTTTAAATCAAGTCCCTGTCTGCCTCAATTTAAAGTCTTTGGTGGACATTAAAGATCTCATGGCTCTACTCGAAAATAGAAGGGAGTTTCTCCCAGTCTCCTGGCCAACAATCCCCAAATAAAATTGGACATTTGTTTCATGGCTGATTGTGGGACATTGCTGTATGCAAATTGGGCTACTACGTTCACTGACAAAAACACAGTCACTCCACTTCACAATAGTCAATGCTCCAAATTGTGAAGCGCTTTGGGACATCCTCCCGCTGTGAAAGGCTCTATGCCAAATGCAAGGGTTTAAAAAAGTTTTGGAGCATTGTACTTCACACAGAGAATGGGATTTATGTGGCATTGGATCATCCAGGGAGGGGTGAAGGCAGAAGATGTCAAAAAAATATTCAAGTGGAGATTAGATAGCTATGTGGCAAAGAAATCGATTGAGGTGTATGACACATGGTCATGTGGGATTTCGTTTTTTTGCTAATTTTATTTTTTTAAACTTTGGAATTGGCCAGAATGTCAACACTTGTCATTTCCATTCCCATGCAATCCTATGATCAATTTTCTCCTCCTGCACTAAATTTTCCACTTTCAGGTATGATCACAGGGCAACATTACTGCCAGTCACGGTCAAGTCTACAGCCCCAAACCATCCACCCTCCAAGAGGCAGAATTAGCATAGCATTGGGAAACCTCAACCAAATACTGAAGAAAGTATTTGTTCTGTCTCACAATGCTTAAATGTTGCACAGATTCCTTTAATTGGTACCTGAGGTAAAGAAACAGTATTTTTCTTTCAAGATTTTTTTTCAATAAAACGAGACACTCTTTTTAAGACCTACGTGCTGTGTGGTCCCTAAGAGATTTTTGCACTACTACCCCCTGCCTCTGCTTAACTTGCTCAGGCCTCCTCGTTCACCAGATCGTCTGGCCCACCATTGGCAGTCGTGCTTTCAGCCACCGTGCCCCAAAGCTGTGGAACTCTCTCCCTCAATCATTTCACCTTGGCCCTCTTTCCCCATTTTCAGGTCATGCTTGAAGACCTTGAAGGCCTATGGTTGCCTTCCCCCTCTTCCTGACTCGCCATTTGGCTCCGCCACTGTTAAGCGCTCCGAGACACCATCCAACGTGAGGGGCGCTTATAAATGCATGTTGTTGTTGTTGTAAGAGATGCCACTCATAACCACCGCCTAAGAAACTTAGATTTTATAGGACTTTATGTTGTAATGCCTCAATGCTCTTACAAGTAATGACTGTCTAGTTAGTGATTGGCTTTTGCAGGCAAACACAGTAGCCATTTACACAAGCAGGCTCCCAGAAACAGCCATGAGGTGAATGACCAATTTTATCTCGACTGTTGGCCAGGACACCAGGAGAAACTCCCTTTCCTTTCTAAATAGTGCCACGGGATATTTGACATCCACCTGAACAGGCGGTTGCTAAAGATCCCAAATGTATTAAATGAAAAATAGCCTCCCTTACTGAAGAGATGTGGATTTACATAATTATGATGTAACAAATTTATTCTAATGATCTACTGCTTACATTAACATATTTGTATTGAGTAGCATGACCTAGAATGGCTGAATGGTGGCCTGTAATATGATGAATATAATAGCCAACATACAACCATACCACTTCCACCGCAGGATCTATCACTGCTATGTCCCATAACAAGTCCCATAACGAGAAAGTTAACAAAAGTTCTTTAAATTGTCAATGTTCTGAGCCAAGGCAAATGATGGAAAAGTTGTGCACCCACTTTTGTCCCACCACCACTTCAATTTAATGAAAGTAATTTGTATTCAAGGACATCAGTTAGTTAAATCAAGAATGTCAAAGAGCCATGACCTTTAATCTGTGTAACTTTCTCTCAGAGGCAGAATCTGAGTGAAAATCACAACATTTTCACAACTCCTGACACCACCCTGGGTCACACTTGTTTGCATAACACTTTTGCCATACATCAAAAATCTGAGAATCTGGAAATATCTTTAAAATAATAACCACTACAAAAGTTACAATAAATGTCCAATATTTTAAAATAAGTTTAAAAAACAGATACACCGTTTATTGAACCTCAAAGTGCACCTCAAATACCAGCTCAGTGGAGATTTTTGAGCACCATATTCAACAACAATTTCATTCTCATTAACCTCAAATTGAGCTTCAGTGTTGATCAAGACTAATTTATTCACTGAAACAAAGGTGAGGTAATGCTGTTACAAATGGTTCAAGATATTTTGTGCAGTGCATTTTATCTCTTTCATGAATCTTTACAATTCTGTTCTGTTGAAGAAAGAAAAAGGAATAGAATTCAGGCCCATTCCATTAATTTGTGTGTAAACCCCTTTCAGCAGTGCTGGGCAAATATAACTTTTTAAACCAGGTGCTACTTTGTAAGGTATGTACTTCCCAGTACTATATTTACACCAACATACAGTGTGCACATCATTTGAGGGTGCATGCATTACCATCAATACTCATTCCCTGGGGCACGCACATTAACCATTTTTCCCCACACATATTAAATCGTTCCCTTCCACACAGCTCAGAAACAACTTGCCAACAAGTACAGAAGAACTCTCCGCCCATCCACTTAGAGGTGAGTAGAATTTCACACAAGCCTCACACCCCTGGGAAAGCAAAGTGCCTGAATGGGATGATGAACGGAGAACTATGGGATTTTAATCCAGTAAAACATGCAGCAAAGTTAACAAGGCAGCCCAACAAATGGCTGCCAATTTGCACAGATGAAAACAGAAAAAGACTGCATAAACTCAAAAGTGATGATTTATCAATGAGATCTGGCATTTACACACAGAATTCACATCACTTACCCATAAAGCTCCACACTTCCACCTTGTACAACGTTTTTAAAAGTTTCACATTCAACCAGTTTCTTTAAAATAAATGTTGAATTTTAAAAATAATCCCAATTTTCACATCCTCATAATTAAGATGTAGAATTCCGTGTTCAGTAATTTACTTGTTGACTAAGTTCAAAAAGTGATTTCTGGCTTCTTTGAAATCTGTATGGTCAGTAATGATAGGGTACAAGCTTAAGGAAGAATTAAAGCACTTTTTATTGTTTATAGATTTGAATGCAGGCCTTTAAGGGCGAAACTTTTGAGCAAAAAGGGAACCCACGTCTTTAACCTAATACCACCACAACCTTACGATAAACAACATACAAACAGTGCACTCTTTGTTCTTGGCAGCAAGCTTTTCTTAAGCAAATCAAGTCAAATACCTATGGAGAAAATACTGAACGCATTGTCGATCTCACTACTATACGCATTTCCTGAAAAAAGAGAAAAACCCGTAATGTTGGAATTTTTGACATGGATAGATGTCTACAGTGAATGTTGGTCCTCATCGCTCTAACTGTTGCTAGGACATATTTGCGTTCGGAACCTGCAACAAACAGAAGAAATTCCTTCTTTACCCTGTCTGTAATAATCCATCGCCATCTTCCCACACAGCGCCTCTGAAATCCATCCAAGCTGTCTGACCTGCCTCCGTGAATGTACGCAGCCAATAAAAAAAAATCAATCAGTATAACCAAGTCGGCACGTTCCCCTACAGTGAAAGAAATCTTACACTTTGAAAACGGAAAACAGTCACAGGGTAAAGCAAACGGTCAGGGCACAATTAAATGGTCGCACTAACCATTCATTCACCGAGTCTGTGAAAACAAAAGTTCAAAGTTTCGGTCCTGTAGCAGTCATTTTGCCCCCATGGTATTTCATTCCTTAGTGGGAAAGGGAAGGGGGGTGGGGGGGGGGAAACACAACACAGCAAGCAGACAAAGGAGGTTATTTCAATTCAGCAGTGCCAAGTCCTGCCTGCTTTTCTTTTGCACTCTCTCAGCATGGCACTCTTCCCGAGCAGCCTTGGCATCGCTCCAGCCAGTGCCAGTCTGTCTAATCCAGCTCCCAAAAGGTACCTTCCTGGATCGTTTCGGAAATAAACAAGATCAACCGTCCTGCCACCGGATTCTGGCAGGATTCAACTCCACAGCTGCCAACTTCCTCATACGCTTCAAATTTTTTTTTTCCCCTTTGCCGATCTGCTGTGCAATGACGTGCCATTGAAAGATTTTTGGGGGTTAAAAAATAAACAGGGGTTTAGGAGTACAAGAAACCACTCAGTGTTCAGTGCAAATAACTCTCTCTCTCTCTCTGCCTCCCCCTCTCTCTGGTGCTGTCCACACACGACACAAGCACCACCTGCAGCTTGGAGCAACTCTGATGGCCAACCACTGGGCAGACTCCTTAATACCATCTCCCGTCTCTACCTCATAGCATCCTGGGTAGATTTCAGAGTGGCAATCCTCTCATGTTTATTTCATAAACAATTTCATGTGTCTTACTGAACTCCTCGCACACGCAATTGTAATTAACAGCACATCAGCACCTACTTACAGTGTAATTATAACTGATGTTAATGTTGGCTCGAGTCATTCCGCAGCTCTCACCAGCCCCTAAAGGTCACCGCTATTCAGCTGGATGAATTATGAAACAACTTTGGCACTATTATTTCCAAGATATCAGGATAAAAGTTGGCCTTTGTCAGAGCGGTGTTAGCACCAACTTCATAAATGTAACAAAACACATGCAGGTATCAATTGAACACTTAAGTACAATTAAATGGAAGAGTCAGTCACACAATTTTATATATATTATAGATATAAAAGACCTTTGTTGCATTGCTGGTATTTATTGAGCTCGTTGGCAGCACTGACTGTACCAAACACAGTAAAAGCTCAATAAAGTGACCTTTGCATTAGAGTGGACAACCACTGTACTAACCAGCACAAAAGCAGATGATCATCAGCCCCAAGGAGTCTGTATGACTAACTCAAAGTTGGAGGCACAGTATCATATCATAATGACTGCACTAAAATTCTCTTTCTGTTCAAAATGCAGAAAACAAGAGGAAAAGTTTACTGCAGTTTCAAAAAGCTCCTCCTCCAAAACGTAAAATAGTTTTTTTGAAATAAAATAAAATGATTTTTAGCCAGAATGCAATACATGAAGCAAATGTCTCTTATTTCCATATCTGTCTGCCCATTTTTAAAAATAATGTATTGTTCTACTTCCAAAATCAAAGTGATTCTGAATGGACCCATATTTGGGTCTACATGAGATTTAATCCCATTTAGAAATAACAATTCAAAATGTGTCTCATACCTTTTAGAGAATTGCTCTTAAAATAAAATATTATATTCAGTTCATACAATATTGCTATATAAAAGATAGTTAAAACTGCCAGACTGAACTTCAACCTGTCAAACACAATTTTTCTTTTGACATCTCTTCCTAAGCAAATGGAGTGTCTATTACATGTCAATTGTAAAGTATGTGTAAACATTGCTCCATTATTCAACCCTGACTGCTTTCCTTCCACATTTCCATAGTCCCATCAGTAGAAGTACCATTTGTAGTCCATAGATTATTTGTTCGTCTGACTATATCCTCATAACCTGATATTTATTCATTCTTTAAAATAGGTGTTAATCTACATGGCAAACTGTTTTTGTTGAGAGACAATTCCACACACACATATATATAATATATATATATGAATAAATCTGATGCTCTCGAGGAAGGAAGAGGCTGTTTTCTTCCATAACGAGTAATCAATATTTTGTTGTAGAAACAATTAGCATTTTTTTATAATGGAGCACCTCATCACATCAAAATGTTTCCAAGCATTTCACAAGTAATAACTATCATGCAATAACTGTGGTGTAATGACTCTTTTTTGGGGCAGGCAAAAGTAACACCATATAATATGAACTAGAATTAAGAGGACAGAATGCAGAACAGTAGCTCAACCCTACCTCCCAGTGAAGCAGAAATGACAGCACTGAAGGAGGCCATTTAGTCCATCGAGCCTATGTTGCTGTTATCTGCCCCTGTGAGGATTGCTTACCCAGGTGTGCCAACTTGAAAAGGCTACTGCCATGTTTTCTAAAATGCAAAGAGCAGAATGAATGCTGGCAGTGAGGTTGGCAATAACATTCAAATGGAGGAGCTGAATGTGCTTATGCTGTTTTCTTTCAGTTAACAATTTGCAATGAGCTCCAGGGGGGGAAAAAATCAGTTCATATTAACTTTCCAATGAATTTAGGCACGGCATGTTACTAAAACCACATGCTGCACAATTTGCTCCACATTCGACCTCCAATAGATGATTATGGATGGTCTGTTGGAAACAGTGAGTTCCATGTCCAAACCATGTATAAACATTTGTATTATGTGTACAACTCAGAGGAGTTGTACACTCATGTGTACAGAGGAGATTACAGGACCTCTTAATAATATTATTACAAACTACTGAAAAGGACTTATTAAGAGAGTGGATTACTAAACACCAGCACAGACTAGATGGATTGAACGACTGTTTCTGTGCTGTAACTTTCTATGTAATTCTATTTAAATAACAATCAATCGTTGTATAACCTACGATTCCTTTTGTACACATGCATTTACACACGGAGCCTAGTAGAACTGATTTCTACACATGATTTATACACAGTTTAATTTTCTGAAAAGCTTTAGTCTAAAGAGGATAAATACCATTTTGCACTGAGATTCATATTTGGTTGTCCCAATTTACTGCCTAGTGTTGTAGTGCTAGTGCAGTGATCCATTGTGCTTTCCAGCTTTCAGCAACAACAAAATTACATTTAGAGCGCCTTTCACGTTGGGAGGACGTCCCAATGCGCTGGACAGTCAGGGGTCAGGACCCGAGCATGGGGGAGGGCTGGGGTATGGGTGAGGGAAGGCAGAGAGGTGGGAGGGTGACTGAAGGCACGAACAAAGTCGAGGGTCTTGAGATCAGCCTTGAAGGAGACAAGGGAGGAAGTGAGGTGAAGGGACTGTGGGGAATGGAGTTCCAGAGTGTGGGGGCAGAGAGGCTGAAAGCCCGGCCACTGATGGTAGGGCGGGTCGGGCGGGAGACATGGTGTCAATCTATTGTAGAGGTCTGCTCATCTGCAATAAGCAATGAAAGGGTGATGAAACCACATTGCAGTTACTTTCTGTTTGTATGTACTGTATATTGTATATGCTGACACTAAGGTGCCAATGAAAACCTGGAGTTATCTGACCTGACTTTAAGAGTTTGGATTGGATAATCTTATCTATTTTTATTCCTTCTTCATTAGAGTTCTGCTCAAAAAGAAACAAGTACAGAAACAGGCCATTTGGTTGAACTAAGTCCTTGCCAGTGTTTATACTCCATAAAAGCTTCCACCCTCCGAATCCTTTCTCCCAAACCCTCTGTTCCTTTTTTAATTGTACACACATACAGACATAGGTTTTCCTTTTTATTCAATACAATGTGGTCTGACATCCCCTGAATGCTAAACTAGAGATCTTTACACTAAGTCTGTGAAAATCCCATTAGTGCATGTTAGACCCCAGTGTCTAGGAGTACATCTTATAGGGTCGGACCACTAAAGACATGTGCTTTATCTATAATGCTGCCATGTCATGGAGGGAGTGTCCAGCTTGCACTGATCGCTAACTATAGCAAACCTTGTTTGTGTGTGGGATTTCATATTAAACATGTAAGCAAAGAATCTGTAATCTTGATGATCAACAACAACTTGCATTTATATAACATCCTTCCCATAGGATAACGTCTCAAAGAGTGCTGTATAGTAACGGTGGTCACACACGAACAAGGGAGAAGGGGAGGTGACCATAAGGGCAGTTGGAGAGGTGAGTTTTCAGGTGGGATTTGAAAATAGGTAAGAAATCACAAGACAGAGGCATTCAGGCAGGGAGCTACAGAGGTTTGTGTTGTAGTGACTGAAGTCATTGCTATGTCGGTGGCGCGGTAGGGTTGAGGAATGTGCAGCAGGCATGTGTTAGCTGAGCAAAAGTGATGGCAGAGGAGTGCGGCACAAGCAAGCTCGGAGAGGTAAGGCCTGAAGGAATTTGTATGTGAGAGTGAAGATGTCAAAGTCGATCTGTTCGGAGATTGGGATTCGGGAGTCTGGCGAGGAATCATAGAATCATAGAATGTTACGGCACAGAAGGAGGCCATTCGGCCCATCGAGTCTGTGCCGGCTCTTTGACAGAGCAACTGACTTTTATTAACCCCACTCACCAGCTTTCTCCCCATAACCTGCAAACCTGTCTTCCCCAGATAGCTATCCAGTTCTCTCTTAAAAGCGGTTATCGAATAGGACTTCACTGCCCTTTCGGGCAGATCATTCCAAATTCGAACAACTCACTGAGTGAAAACATTTCTTCTAACCTCCCTTCTGCTTCTTTTGGTAGATATCTTAAGACTGTGACCACAAGTCACAGACACACCTACCAGCGGAAACAGCTTTTCCTTATCTAGCCTGTCAAAACCTTTCATGATCTTGAAGACCTCTATCAGGTCCCGCGTAACCTTCTCTGCTCTAATGGGAAAAGTCCTAACGTTTCAAGCCTGTCCTCATAGCTAAGCTTCCCCATTCCTGGTATCATTCTCGTGAATCTCCTCTGCACCCTTTCCAGTGCCTTAATGTCCTTCCTGAAGTAAGGTGTCCAGAACTGGACTCAGTACTCCAGCTGAGGCCTAACCAGTGTTTTGTACAGATTAAGCATAACTTCCCTACTCTTATACTCTAT